GAAGTACTGCAATCACTACTTTGCAGTGGTGTCTTGGGGCATAAGCTACCCAACAGCGCGTCTGGGACTATTCGAGACCGTTTCTAGAATGGTCAAGACAATGCACAATAAACTGATCACCTTAAACAACCCCATTATCACACAGACGGCAAAACAATGGGGACTGAATCAGAAACAGGCCTATCTATCCCTCTCAAGGTCATCTGAAGTCAAACGGTGCTTGGCAAAATACTCAATGCTAAAAGGTAAATGTTAGTGAGCGCAAAACTTTACTTTTGCAAAACTTGTTAGTTAATGTTAGTGAGCGCAAAACTTTACTAGACTAAACTTTGTCTAACTGGTGACAGAAAAGCAATGCAGTAGTCATAAGGGTTGTAGGTGACTATCACTTGGCGTGTACCTACCTTGCATACCAGATGGACCAAAATCCTGTCTTGTGAGAAAAATAGCATGGTCGTGATATTCTGCGTGTCCAGTGTCAGGCTTCTGTTGCAGATAGGCCCAGCGACATACGTTCTCCAAACTCTGAGAAGGGTTCCCAATCTCTATTAAGCTCATGGACTAGATATTTCAGGAAGAAAAGGACCACAGTGATTATTTATGTCAGTCAACCTTTCCTACAGTGTTACCTCTGAAGAAATATTCTGGCATTTGCTCGAACGCTATACAAAACCCCCATTCAGACGAAGGGAGAAATGTATTATACAAAGAGAGCATGAAAATATCACATCTAATACATGTCAGTTATGGCATCCGCACACATTTCATCTTGCCTGGATGAGCTGCAGGACAAAGGGTGCGAGTAATTTAGTAACACGCAGTATTACTTCGTGTGCCCCGTGTTGTTACCGTCTCTTTGTGTCATCACAGTGCCTATGAGCATCACCCATAAACCTGCACCCTCCTGGGCAAGGGACTGAGCCAATACAGAGTGGCCCCAGTCCCAGATGTCTTAAATTATGAAGGCAAGAGATAACAAATGGATACGGACAGACAGGAGAGCACCGGAGCACAAAAAGAGGAAGAGGCCCCCCCACTTAATATTTGCAAACTTCCACTGAGCTGTCCCTGATGGTAGAAAACCTGGTTTATTCCCTCTGTCCTTTTTTCTGAGCAGAGTTACCTTGATGACAATGTTTGTAGGAAAAACTAATTGGGCAATACTTGAGTCCTCAGCTTTCTTCTAGTCATCCCTATTTGTGATAGAGGTGTAATAAGGAGATACCACCTTCTTCTAATGATGGCCTGTTGTCTTCTTCTAATGATGGCCAACGATCAAATGTTGAGGCTGATTCTTTCAGATCTATCTTTGATACCATTTGCCATGAATTGTTGCTGACCTGTTTGTCAACCCTGAATAAATTGCTTGAGTTGGTTCACCCTCTGGAAGGCAGATCCTTCAATCCAAGGATTCTCTTGGAGAGGATTGCACAAATCTCCGTTCCTTCAGGTCCCATGTTCAGTTTGGATGTGAGGCTGCTGGGAGAGTACATTAGATGACATCTGCTTCCATGTCTCCATTTAATCAGGTCTGGATGGTACAGTCACTTATCAAATGTTCAGCCAACATTGAATTTAGATGGCAGTTAACAGGTTGAAACTTGTCAAGGGGATACTTTCTGTTTGAGGAAGCAACTGGAAAGATTATGCCCATGCCAATGCAGACAGTAGAGTTTAAGGTCTTTCACTGGGCCTTTGAATGCCACAGGATGTCCAGTTAAATTCAATGGCTACGTGAGCTTGCTTTCAGGCATGGACCTTTCCATCGTCACCCACAATTCTCCCCTCAGCAGTAGATTACTTCAATCCATTCTACAACTGGAAACGTGTGGTTGCCCACCCGCTTAGCAGTATTTCCTATATTCTACGTAGGGACCCACTGAAATTGTGATTTTGTGGAAATCGTGAAATACGGCATTGCCTGCACCAGCAGGCCATGTCCACAAAATTCACGAAATTTGTGAAAAAATAAAAAGAGAAATAACTGAGAGTATTGCCCGCCACGTGGCCCTGCCCCTCTCTCCCAATTGGTAGAGAGGGGCAGGGCCGTATGATGGACAGCCCTTAGCCAATCAACAGCAAGGGGCAGCGATTATCTTGGGCGGCCCTTTGTGTGGGCAACCCCCCCCCCCCTTTCTCTACTGGGGTGTGCAGCCAAGCCCTCTGGGAAGCCTATATTTTATTTTCAGTAAGTTTTTTTTTTCCATGGTTTTCATGAATGTTGTGGGCAATGCCACATTTTGTGAGTTCTGCAAAATCAAATTTCAGTAGGCCACCGGGGCCCCTCCACCAATCAGAGGCATGGGTGGGGCCCCATCATGACCAGCCCATTAATATGGCAGCCAGCCCTGCAAACACCCCACAAAATCAGCTGGCTGCCTCCGGGAGTTGGGTAGACTCCTAATTATATCTGCACTGCGTTAGCTCCTGCTTCAGTGATTAAAAAGGAGTTAATGTGTGTTAGGTGTTGTGCAAAGGACTGGAGACAAAAAGGCCTATTAAAACCCAACCTCAACTCAACATTTGCTTTTTTAAAAACATTTTCTTTTTCACAAGTCCTTCAGGCACAGCATATTCAGCAGTGTTCATTGTCAATGCTTATGAAAGCTTACTCTGTGTGGGATGCTATGAAATGTGTGACTAATTGACCCATCCTGTGCCTTCCAGAATTTGTAAGAAATACACATGTGAACTCTGGCCTTCCATTTGCAAAACGAATGTTTCCAAGACAACATTGTTACCCCAACAAGAACAACCACGATTTAGATGCGTACACTCTTCTATAAGTCTTTATCACATAAGGTAAAGTAAACATAGAGCAAAGTCTATGTTCTGTGCCAGAAGTAAAAGAAAAGAAATATGTTTTATGTTCAGACCCAGGGATACATTTGACATGTCCTCTAATCCAGTGCAGAGAGAAGGGGAATCCACAATGGCTCGTGGAGAAACAACTGGAATAGGTAAAAGCCTGGCTTGCCAAACTGATTTTTGGCAAAGCAAGGACGTTGCAATGCTGCAAGTTTTGACAATAACAGATGAATAAGCCAGCCAGACAGGCCGTTTGGATTCAGATCCCAGAATGCCTTACACAAAAGGGATATGGGGCAATTACAAGACTTGAACTATAATCCCGCAGCGCACTACTGCCAGTTATAACTTCCTTTGGAAAAAGGACTAACCACCATATTAAAACAGCAAAACGACTATGCCGTGTTTAATTCGTGCCACTGTACATATTTGTATGGTACCTTCAAAGCAAGTGTGGACTGAAAATCAGGCCATGAAATCCTGGCCCTTTTTAAAGATGATGACAAGATTCCCATTGGTGTCTACAGGCCTAGTATTTTGGCCCCTGAACCTTGAGGCATTCATCAGCGTGTTCCAATGATAAAAGCACTAGGCAGGACAACTCCACCTGGACTTTTCCTCTCCAAAGCTTCCAAAAGAAAAGCATGTCAGAAAAGCCAATGACTGTTCCTCCCAGGACATTTCACAAAGCACAGGATGTTTTGAACCAAGAGGCAAAAATCTCAAAGAAAACATAGACAGGCAAAAATGCTTCCCAGCAATTCTGTTTCTCATAATTATCTCCTTTCATGCTTCCTCTCAAATGAAAACCATCTTATATTTTATATAAAAGTGGAATTATCAGGAAACAGAAGATAAAATGCCAGAGCAGCAGTCTGCTCGGTTTAAGGGCCAGCGTTATCCCCTGCTACTCATTTGACTATTGCCAAAACAACATCTTTATACCAGCTCGCAGGAATGGAGGGCGAGTGGGGAGAAGTAGTAACTCCAAACAACAAACCATTAGTAACTAATTTGCCATTCCTCTTCTATATCCCGCCAACAAAAAACGGATCTCATTGACGTGGCACAACTACAGCACGGGATAAAAGAGCTAAGCTTAGCACGATTAGACACAGATGCTCATAGCACACTTCTGACCAGCGCGGATTCTGCCACTGAGAACAGATGTAGCATTTTGCAATGCGTGCCGCTGTTACTACAGTGTTGTTGGCATCTGTTTGTCGTTCACTAAAGCTTCAGGTTCTACGTAGCACAGGGGCGGGCGATTATTTGGGGCAGAGGGACGCTTACTGAGATTTGGGAAGCCATCGAGGGCCGCATGACAGGCAGCCAGGGGCAGATAAATATTAATTTTCTAATTTTTTTTAGGGGTCCCATGGGCCGGATAGAATGGCCCCCAGGCTGCATTTTGCCCACCCCTGAAGTAGCAAAACCTGCAGTTGGGCCCAATGCACCTCAATGCCTTAAAACTCAAGTAAGTTTAAGAGCTCGCCTTCAAGAGAATGGGACACATGAAACAGGTTTACATGGAACAGGGAGTGATCTGGGTCTGTGACGTGTAGGGGGAAAATCACCCTACTGCAAAAGACTAAAAATCTCGAAAGCCTGCAAATGTGCTGCCTATTTCCAGTCTCTATTACCTTGCCATAGACACAATCTGGCTCTGGAAAAGTGACCTTAAGGAGCAAAGCTTCAGTCTTTTTCTTCCTATGGGGTCAAAGCTCAAATACACGGTGGCAAATGCATTCATTAAGAGAGGTACATGTTTGTCAAAAATGTGAGCAGGGAGGCTCTGAGCCATGCCAGCAAGGAGATTTCAAATAAAATAACCACGTGAGAGTCCCAGAGTCCACAGTGCCCAGAGTAAGGTGTAATTACACCGTATTCAAAGGTCTTCAAGCATGAGTGACATTTATCCACTGGTCCGGCCCTCATGGTCACAGGGTTGCATCATGCAAAGAGAAACCCACCTGATTTAGAGAGAGTGTTTCTTTGGCAGTTACTAAGAACTTACAAAACTCAACTGGCCCATACCATATGGTCTTCACAGACCTCATATACTAATAATGGTCTTTACAGACCTCAACGAGTTCCCCTCCTACGCTTACAGAGCCACCTCTAGAAAGTTAGAGTGATTGCTGCCGTCCTACTAAGGAAGGAAATTCATGAGAACCATCGGGATGGTTTTATGACATCCGTCGTGTGCTGCGGCAGATGAAGGCAGGCGTAGTAGATGGGGTGCAAGATATGGTATAGAGGCTTCCTGAAAGGATTTGATGGTCCCAGAAGCTGAGATACCAGAGATGCTGCATAACTCTATAGAATTTCCCATTGGAGGCAACAGGCGAGCATTCCCCAAACCAGGTAATCCCAAGCGTTGATTAAAATAGCGCCTATGCAAAAAGAATGGGACTCTAAATAGGAAGATGAAAGCAAGGGACTGAGCAGAACAATCAGGACTCCGAGGGTGCGTCTACACAAGACGCTTACTGCGCAGTAGCCTAGTAACACTGCGCAGTACCGTGCCAGTCAAAAACCGTGCTAATACACTACTGCACAGCGTAGTTAGGCTACTGCGTAGTAAGCATCACCAAAAAACAGTGCGTTGGCACTACTGCACAGTTACTGTAGTTACTGCACATTTAGTTAGTATTTCATTAAACACATACTATAAACTAAATGCACAGTAACTACTGCGCATTAATGAACGTGTAGACGCACCCCGAGTGAAGCAAGTGTACGTCTCTGTT